GATGCAATAAATCTTGAGATAAATTTGAATTTGAATTTGGGTTTAGATTTATATGCTATATTTGAATTTGGATTGGGATTTTGGCTTGTAGTCCAGGTTTGAGCATCGATTTGGGTTTTTAGTTTAGCTTTGAGATTTGGGTTTGGATTTGCTAAGATATACGTTCGATATTCTTCGAGTTGCCCATTCATTGCAATAAAGTTATTATTGAATAGTTTTTTATCCATCGATAAAAGTTTAGCATGATGAAATATGGTTCCAATCAAAATATACTGATAGAAAAATGATGGTGATAGTTTTAGATTAAAAGACTTCGTAGTACATGCAGAAGTGGATGATCATTTTAGAAAGAACGTTGGTATAGAATTCTGTGCGATAAAATTCTTGTTATCTCTATGGAAGTCTTTGAATTCGTGTTGCAATAGAGATATCTACATAATGAATAGTAAAGAAATTGTTACCGAATAAATCATATTCTATTTGTAAAATGTTTTGTTAACTACTGTTAACTTCGTCAGTCAAAAATTAAATTGAAGTTACATGATAAAATAACTATACATATAGTTCAAACATTTTTGTATATTGATTTAGAGAAAAATAAGACAATAAAATCTTTTTACATTATTTTTCTCTCAATCAATATATAAAAACATTTAGACTATATACAACTTGATTCAATTACTTTTGAGAGTTTTGTGCAGTTTGCTATATTTATGCAAAACATCCAAGATTTTTTATTTTGATATAGTCGAAAGAGCATTAATCATTCTATCGAATCATGTGGTTTTTATTTTATATCTTGTATAAAAATTCGATGAAGTTTGAGGAACACTGAAACGAAACTTTTTCACGCTCATATGTCAGCAGCAGTACGCTGAATAATAATGAAAATTGTTTTAGACAGAAGTGATTTATCACATTTCATCGTGCAAAAAAGTATTCAATAGAACGGATTCGAAATTGAGAAGAAAAGTGACCTTGACTCTTAAAGTTTAACTCAGTTTTGTGCTAGTGAAAAACTAAGTTTGTAGGACTTTTCGCAAAAATTTACTTTGAGGAATTCGACGTACATCAGATCAAAAACTATGTAAACTGATAGGGCAATCAACGATTTATTTGAGTTCATGTTACAGAAAAGAAGCCCAAATGTTTAAAACACTAAAATTTCTCTGGAAAAAGACGAAAGCTGTATATGAAAGAAAGTTTACGAAAAAGTTTCTGAGAAATTCTCTAATTTTATAGTAAAAATGTGAAATAAACCCATCGAAAAAGATGTAGTTCGATAGAGAAACGAACGGTCTATTACTCTATATAAAAATAAAATGTTCCAATAGCCCAACAAATAGTAATCACCGCAAAAAAATGATCTCAAAAACTATCCGAAGTTTGCTGTGTGAAAAAAAAGTCTTTTTGGCTGCTTTTCTGGATTTATCAAATTTTTGAACCAGATGTAAAATGAATAAAGTAAAAACTATATAATTCGATAGAGTGATTGATGCTCTTTTGACTATATCAAAATAAAAAACCTTAGATGTTTTGCATAAATACAACAAACTGCACAAAACTATCAAAAATAACTGAATCAAGTTGTATATTCGACTATTAAATTTAATGAATTCCTTTTTGATCGACAACGAAAACTATTGTATTACTAGAAACACTAAAACAGCTTATCGTCATGAACAGTTTTAACAGTAATATGACAATCGAATGGACCTAAATTTTTTTGTTTTTGGATATTGTACAATTTTATCAGTTTCTATGTAAACATAAAAAAGAAATAAAACAATGTTGTGTCATAGATCTAAAGAGTTTCGAATGGGAAGAATGTAATATTCCTGTAACCAACAACTTTATCAGAGTCGTTTGACAAATGAAAATGCATCAGAAATCTATGATACTACAGAAATGCTGAGACTAATACATAGCGAATACTATGAAAAAAATCCTCATTCAAACAGTTTTCTAATAGTCTACGTAAACATAAAGTCTACTTTGATATCTGCAGTTGTAAAAAAATGATAAAAATGTTATAAGAGTAAGAAGAATATACTGCTGAAAATTATATTATCAAATCCAAACCTTAGGTATTAAATCTAAATCTAAAACCAAGCACCAGATAACAGATCCAAACCAAATTCAAATATGAGATATCAAATTCAGATCCGAATCTAAACCAAATCCAAATCTAAATTTGAATCCAAACCCCCTAATATCAAATCCCAAACATTCGGGTTTGTTGCATCCCTACAATTGATCGAATGATTTTAAGCACATTTTAGGCAATCATCTAGTTTTCTGAAAAGAATCACAATAGAAATATGTAACTATGCTTTTACGATTCTATGGTTCACAAAGAGCCTTAGATTCAAATTCAGTACGTTCGAAACAGAATCATTGTCTGTCGATGATACACATTCTTAACAGAAAATGAAGGTGAGATATACTCGTAAGCATTTTTTTTTTCATGAAGAAGAATAACTTGATATTTGATAAGACAAACACGTAACTAACATGTGCGTTGTTTCATTCTTATTGATTCTGCATAAAGAACATTTTGATATAACACTCAAACGGTTATTACATCATAAAAAGCACAAGTCCAGCGACTGGCTAAAGAAGAAGCGAAAATAAAGGTAATTTTTATCGATTTGATTTTGCTTATTCATGTTAGACATGTAATGATTTTGTATCTTGTAGCTTCAGGAAGTACAAGAGGAAAAATTGATACTGGAGAAAAAGAGCAATACAACACTGAAAAAGGATGAACATGCTAACACCTAAGAAGAACAAACGAAGTAAAGCAAAATTGCTAACAATCTGACAGCCGATTTGAAAGATCTCAAAAAGAATATTCGATTGAAAAAGAAAACGAAAAGCAAGCCAATAGCATATTCTAACAGTGCGTTTAATTGTTTTTTTGTTTACATATCTTTGATTTTTTTCGTCAGCAATAAACTTGTGAGTAAATGTCTACTATTATTTGTCACTTACCAAAAGCTATTTCACAAAAAAGTCGAATAAATTAATTTACAAACAATAAAACAGAAATAAATAAGACGTAAGTTCCTTATAAAAAAAAATGAGAATTTATTTTTTGACAAAGCAAGACATTGATTTAAACTAATCAAGTATTCCGTCTGTCAATTGTAGTACACTATGAAACATGATGGAGAAGACTTCTCTTTGAGTTTTTGTTTCATTCATTAACATTATTGAAAAAACAAGAAATATGCCATGACTCGCTAATATTTTTCTAATAAAATAATACATCATAATCACGTTCTTGCGAAACATCAAGTCAATGGTGACGTGAACAACTTGCGATTCAATAAGAATCAATCTGTTTGAGAAGAGAAAATGATCAATTCGAAATTATGTATATGGTTGAAGAGAAGATCAACATCCACATGCAGAAAGTTGTTTTTTTTTGCTTCAATCACAGCACAAATTTCAATGTACCCGCAATCAGATGGTGCTAAATTTGATCATGAAATCTACAGATTTACATGATTAGTAATCACTATTTTCCATATCTTTACTGATGATAGAACTAATCATGCTCTCGGAATCAGAAACTTTCATCATGTGACTCATAAACGGTGTTCAAAGATCTCAAAATCTTTTTCAAACCTTGATAATTATCATAGATGAAATGGTACGCTGTCGTTATATAAGCTACTTTTGGTTTTCTATATGCTTTATCAACTTTCAATAGAACTAATAGTTTACAGTAAATTATGATGATGCAAAATGGTACCAAACAATATTTATTTGCAGTATCAACGTAACATATTATGCATCAAGATGCTTTTGTTTCAATTATTACATCAAGACAACATCATAAAAATAATTCATTCAAACAGCAACAAAAACAAGAAGTAATTTCATAATAAATATTTTCGTTCTTTTTTCTCATATTGAGTCATTTGAAGAAAGACAAAAAAAGACGATAGCATGTGTATATATAATGTAATTACAAGTGTCATCTCATTTGCAAGCAAAACATCGAAATTCAAAAAAAATTAAATTCAATTTTAGTCGTTTTTCTTAATTTAGATTATTAATCAAAATTTCATTGTTTAAAATTTAAAAATTTACTAATAACAATCATAATAAAATGTATACCTTCAGTTTTACTTTTAACTAGCTGCCATTCATAGAGTTTGCTAAATATTGAATTTCACTATTTGTTATTATGAATGTCATGAGCTTTTTTTTCTTTGAACTTGAACCCACGATCTAATATTCATTATAACATGCAATCAAAAATTGAATGGACACAAATTAATCGAGGTGCAAGAGCATTTATATACAAAAATACAAAAAACGATGTTCAAAAAAAGATGACTTTGAAATATGGGTGTTGGTGAGTGTCGTCTTCTCTTCAACTCCTCCCCATCCCCATTCATCCACCTTACACCTCACGGCAGATATTGAATTACTACTATAAATTACGATAAAATCTCGCTTTAACCTTCGTTAAAATTCTTCTTAGCTAAGTCCAAATCAATGATCTTTGCTTGTACATTATGAGTTGTACAAATCGTAGTAGCTCTACTAAATACTTACGCCCTCTACAAATTAGAGTACGCTTTTTTTTTAAAATAAAAAATAACTTTTTATTAAAATTTTTCAAAATAATTTATTTCCTATAGATGTACTCACTGATTAAATCTTTAAAATTAACCTATCAAATTCAATCATTTTATAATTATTTACTTTTATTGTTCTGTTATATTAACTATTAAGTCATAAAAGTTTTTCTTGCCATGCTGGTTCACACATGTTGGAATTTTCCAATTTATTTATTCTTATCTTGGAAGTTTTTGGCGTTATACATGCTTTTAAAGTAGGTTTTTTCTAACTGAATAATTCATATATATATATATATAATATATAAAAGCACCTATCAGTCAGTTGCTCATTCATTCTTATAAATAAACTACATTCTGTGTATTGTAAGTTTCCTGTTAATACTATTCAAATTCGATTCTTAGATGGTAAGGCTGTTTTTACAAACTTGTCTTCGTATACATGCTTGCTATTCGAGCAAAAATGTAAAACTCTATGACCTCATTCAATTTTGTAAAACAAAAAACGATACTTTTATTAATCGAATGAATCAAGCTTCCCAGTGTATTGAATTAACTCTTCGTAACTCTGTATCTATTGATTTATTTCAATTAGTTAGATACCTAAAAAAAAATTAATGTATACACGCACACACAATTCTCATGAAAACCGTTCAGCATAATCCCTACAGAATGAAAGTGCGAAACTCATTGAAAATACTTCAATTATGCATAAGGACTCTCTTTACATTGGTCGTAGCCTATGGCGATTTAGAGAACTTTTCGATATATCTATCAATATCAGTTGGTGATATTATTTTTCTCACTATATAGTTCAACAATCATTAATAATCGTGTTTCACAAAATCAGATGTCTTTCATTTTTCTTCGTATGTTAAAGTGTATAGTGACAACACACGAATAAGTCATGTTTTATTCTTACTCATGTATACTCTTCAAGTGTTCTTGTTTTTCATCATTTCTTCATTTACTTGCAGGAAGGCATGGCGACATCAGCACACGCTTCCGCTGGCACAGCATCATCATCATTACAAGAGACTCTTGAAGTGGGTTGGCTCGATAGCCATATTTGTGAAGATGGTCAACATCAACAAATAAAATCCTATTGTCAAAATATTTCGAAATTCATTTCAAAATGGAATTTTTTCGATTCTTGTGACAAATTCAATGATTACATTAAGAATAATCCAAATGTGAAACTAATTATGATTATGTCTGGTAGATTTGCTCGCCAATTACTCGCACTTGTATCGCCTAGGGAAAATTTACATAGTGTCTATGTTTTTACTATCAATATTGAAAGAACTACGGAAGCATTAGGTGAAGAACCAAAACTTAAAGGAGTATTCAATGTGGAAAATACGTTATATGACAAGCTAAAAAATGATTTATCCGAGTTGTTTTGGGAAGAAGGAAAAAAATTGGTTGCATCCAATCACGATCAAGAAGCTCGTCTATATTTTGATGAAGCAAAACGTTTAGTTGAACATATACAATAAGATCTATATAGTTATAGATAATAAAATGATAATTATTTCATATAACGAATGTTTTTTTCTTTATGATTATTGACAGTTTTTGTGTAAACAAAACATAAGTGTACAATTGATCTCATCTTCATTGCAGGTCTTTGATGGGTGTGGGTAAAGTGGGAGAGAAGATCCATACCCATAAATGAGTGATTCTAATATGTAACAGTTGGAAGAGTCTTCAAACTGATATTTATCGATTCGTGTCGAAGATTAGCTTTCTATCTATGCATTATTAGATTTCATTCTGATCATAAAAACTTCATACTTTTACAGCTATTTGGAATATCTGAATGATCCATAATGTTCATAACAAGCACATCCGTATGGTAATCTGCTCATAGCAATCTGACTACGTTTAGATACTTGACATTGCTTTTCATTTTTGACCATTAATAATTATAATTTCAATGAATGAAAAAGAGCTTGAAGGGCGGGTATGGGAATATTGATTTAAATGTATTAATTGTTAATCATCATTATCAATCGAAATTTAAGTCATTTTCCATAGATCTAAGATTTTTTTAATATCACCCAGACGAAGTATTGTATGATATGATAAAAGAATTTTTCCAATTGAATTAAAATTATTTAATGAGATAAATAGAATAGATGAATTGATTTTCATACAAAGAAAAATTCCAGTTGAATGATGAGCGAAATCTAATGTGTGTTCGCATATTATTTGTTCTGTTAAAGCAAATCATAGCTGGATATAGTTAAAATAAATAAATTCTATTTTAATCTAAGTACATTACAGTTATCATCATTATCAGTTACGGTCGATCTATGAACATATGATTAGTAAACTAATTTTCTTTTTATTTTTCTAGTACTAACATCTAGTGATTTACATAGAATAATATTCATTGAATACGAACGAACAAACAAAATGATTGAGGAAAACAAATTCATTCTTTCAGGATCATCAGTTCTTCAAGTTATTCTTCGGTATGTCCACGTAATGCGGCACTTTGCTGACCAAGTTTTTGAAAAAGTTTTTTGGAATTGGATAGCTCTGAATGTATTATTGGGTGCAGTTGTTCACACTATTTACGACTTCGACATTTGTTCTCAAAAAACAATGGATTTGGGCATCAAAAATTGGGCTTTAAACTTTTCGAAAATCGTATTTTGAACTTTGGGTGTGGGTGGGTGTGAGTGTGGGGTGTGGGTGTGAGGATGAGGGTGGAGGTGTGAGTGTGGATCTTCTCTTGTTCTACTTTCACATCATCACCCATATCCACACTTACACCCTAATATTGATTTCTACCCATTCAGAAACAACAAAAATGATATGGTTACCAAAACGACATTAATGAAGTTATTCTCTTTTGCAAAACAAAATGCAATTCTTTTGAGATTATCGTGCTCACCGCGCAGTCAACCATCGAGAAGTCTTTGCATTCTATTTACACTGTTCATTTTTTTCAATAGACTGCTCCTATTCTTGAATACTTTCATCCAAATAAGAACATCTTTTCGTGCTCCTCAATCCTGCGTAATATATATACATCTTTCTCAATAAGCTTTATAAAAAAAACCAATGGT